AACCCCCTTTTTTTGTTTTTTTATATTTTTGTATTTTTATATTTTTTTATATTGTATATTGTAGTTTTGTATTTTGTATTTTTATTTAATTAATAAAATAAAAGGTAAACAGGCTTTGGGCTTAAAAACGAAATTGGACTTCGGGCTCAATCAATATCATGTCTATTTGAATTGAAATCGGGCATTGGCCCGATTAAATTGCAATCAAAACTTAGTTCGAGAACTCGATATCCGATAAATATTCAATCGAGACACGATTAACATCCGGACAAATTTGATGTCTACATTATTGAAGTCAAAAATGGGATTAAAAAAAAATGATGAAAGGGAAAGAAGTTTTAAACGTGGGATACGGGTTGAGCCATTAATGTTGTATCTAAGTAAACTATTAAACTATAATTAAATGTATTTAATACCCCTTAATGAGAATGAAAAATGAAATATCAAAATTTGACAAAAGTGACAAGTTATGACTGAGAATTGACCAAGGACTTTATAAAGACAATAGTTCTTTAAAAAAAAATGGCAGTGACAAATCCATGATTTCAATCCTTGATCCCCATAACTCCAGATTAATAACAATAATTGCCCAAATTATTATCTTGTAAATTAATCATGGACAATACTCTCTTAATAAGGTCCCTCAATCCTTCTTTCAGTGCAACAAATGGGACCTGGAAATGGCTAGACTGAGTTGATTGATTCGATTTCATAAGCATTTGGCTTGAGGGACATAACCATGCATGGCCATGGAACGACAAGCAATGACATGATGCAAAATCCGGAATTTAATAATGTAATGTGGTTAACTATGTGCATATTTTCACAGTACTCAACTTAGATTATGAACATATTTATATATGGTATTGTCATTAGTAGATTTCAAAGGGATGTTTTTGTTTTTAAATGATGATCTTTCGAGGGCAAAAAAATTATTGGTTTGCTATAGATGAACCCGCCCTTGTACCCCTTGACAAGGGCACAAGGCAAAATCAATTTTGGCTCATCTTCTCTTCTGTCTTGCTTACCATTTCTTTGAAATCCCTTCGTTTGATTTACATTTTGGGTTTTTCCTTTTTCCATGTTACGACTTTAAAATTGGGTTTTCGTTTAGAATTATCTTGAGAGAGGGGGAAAAATAATTGAAGAAGGTCACGTGGTTTGTTGTAGGAGAAGGTTTATTAGGGCATGTGAAACCCTTGTTTATATGCCCCCACCAGGAGCCATGGGCCAGGAGGCCGGCCAGGCCCCCCTCTCTACGTGAAGAATTTAGGGTTCGAATCGGGGGACCATTTGGGGGGCCCCCAATAGGGCTTGCTAGCCTTAGCATTGGTGACAAGTAACATGACGCTGCACGTTAGTCCATTCCCCACACTCTTACGAGGAGACACAACCACGGACCAATTCCACAATTTGCTAAACTTTTCTGCAATAACGTAGGCCCCTCTCCAACCCTCCATGAATGATCTCTTTGTCTCTTCTTTGTGACGTTGATGTTTGACGTAGGTAATATCCAATTCAATAGGCAACGAAAACTCTGGGAGCCTAGTACTCTTACGAGTAGTATCTAGCTAGTAGAACAAATAGAACACGCAAATTCCAACCAGACAGATCATAGAGTTATGATAGAAAACCAAGTTTCTCATCTCTTTATCTTCTTTTTTCAAAAACCAACTTTGAGGAAAGTGTTGGCATGGAAAATCGATAAAGAAAAAAAAAAAAAGGTATAGAAGTCGTGGAAACATTAAACTATGTAAATTTCAAAGTTGGATGTAAGGTTTTCATGTGCAACGGTAGTGCAAATATATCTGAATAGGCGCGTACGTGGAGGAATTCTAGGTCCAATTTGCATGGAAATGTATATGTAGAGTAGAAGTTATGAGGTAGCAACATATAATTAGATAAATTCAACGACTTCGGCTTGACAGTTCTTATCCAAATTAATTGGTCTGATAAGATTTAGCAAAACCTCAGGGTTAAAGTGATGTGATGTTTCTTTTTTTTTTTTTTGGTTTGGTTGGATATATGTACAAGTCTTTCAAAGAGATATGTTTTGAGCTGCAGGGAATGCTGCTCACTTAATGGAGTAGTTCAAGAGAATATCAATTTTTTATTTTACATCTAAAACAGTAATGAAGAAACCAAAATAAATTGAAGTGAATTTGAAAACTTGCTTTTGTGTTTGGAATTATTCAACCAAGAAATATTGTTGCAAGAAGAAAGAAATTTCTAAATCTTTTTCACATGACAATTAATAGATTGAGTAGTCATAACTAATTCACTTTACGCAATTCTTACATCAAATTTATAAATAAGTTAGGTATTTTAATGTGACATGTCGAGATCACTTCACAATAATTACATCATTGGATTTTTTTTTTTAAATAATTCTCAAGATGTTTACCATTAATTTAAACAAGCTAAAACTTGACATGATTTATAGAATTCTCGTTTTGTTTGATTAATAAAAAAAAAGTCTATCTTAATCTTGAGCTCCAACAATTAATGAGCTATAGCCTTATTACTTTTTAACTTAGCAACTTGCAAATAACTTATACAGAATAAAACTATACCAAGGTTCCAATTTCTAACCACCTTCCTGCAATAGAAAAGTTTTTACTGTATTATACCAGAAAATACTCAAGAAACTAGTATTTTATTTGATGCTAGTTGCTGAAATAAATCAAAGGGCACAAAAAAATGACCTCCAAATTTCTAGGTCAAACCCTGATCAGTAACTACTGCCCATATATCCGAGAAGCATCCTAAAAAATAATTACAAATAAATTTTGTTCATTACTCTCTTTGAAATCTGACCACACCCCTACAATTAATTGCCATTAAACAAATTGACCTAGCGACAAAGATATCCAACAATGACGAGAAAGCAACATTTCTCTCTCATTCAAATTGTATAATTCATAATTGATATATGGCAAAACAAACCTAGCTAACGTATCATTCCATTACATCTATATAAACAATAAATTTTAATTCAATCAGACTCTCTTCAATTTCAAGCTACGGTTTCGTAGACCATATATTTTCTGATTTTCGCTGCACTTGCCTTACAATTTATAGACCATGGACCCATTAAAAACCCAAGTCTTAGTCTTCAGCTGTTCCTTTCAAGACACTTGAATTTTTTTTTTTTTTGTCTAGTTATATATCCAAGTGGGTCGAGATGTTAACAGTATGAGCATGGAGTGTACCTTACTCTTACACATCAAAGGGTCTCTCACCTATGAGCCTGTTTCTAATTATTGCTGTAGTGATTCATATCGAAACAATCCCAACCAGGCCATGCGGCTTGCCCCGATTGATGGGTCGATAGAGACTCGTATCCAGCCTCGCTTGAAAGTGATTGTTAATTTTTTGTTGCCCCAATATTGTGGCCTACGCTTCAATATGCCAAGCACGCTGGGCCTGAAATGCATACCACTTGGAGACCAGAGGCTGCTGTTTCAAACCATAGAAGTCTAGCTCTCACCGTTCCATCATTTTTAAGCTACAGACTAGTAAGAATCTTGGGGTCACTCGTCATTATCCTTTGCTTTATGCAAATTTTTCATGTGATTGTACAATTGTAGGTAATGAACATACATTTTTGTCCCCAGGGGATATCCGAGGAACAATGAGAAACTCAAATGCCCCTAGCTAGGTGTTTTTATTTTCTTGCTTCTGCTTGGGAAGATATAACAAATCAAGGGAACAAAATGGATGATAATGGTTGGTACGAGAACCTGTATTTAATGATATAATTAAGTACTTTCTTTTATGTATGTGTATATATATATTCATAAAAATTTAATATAAATACTCTTACATATATCTGTAAATTTATGGGTCTCCCTTACCGTTTTCATTTTTGGGAAAAGAATCTTATATGTAATGTAGGACCTTTGAGTGGTTTCATTGTAACAAGAGCAAATCATGGTACTAATTAAAATTTTCATTGGGATCTAGTTTTGTGAGTATATTAATCTTTTTTCATGTGATAGAATATTGATTTTTAATTTTAATGATGAGGCTTTGACAACGTTAAGTACAAAAGAATTTATTTATCCTTAATGCAAATGACATATGAAAAGAATAGGAATTTCAGAGAGGCAAAACACGTTTTTCGGCTTTACCTCTTTATGAGAGGGCCAAGGCAACGCATTTGTTAATAATAGTATGGAGGAGGTCCTGCAAAGGAAAACAACAGGGTTGTACAAATTAAGGGCCCATTGACAATCTTGCAATTAAAGGACCCAAGCCGACTTAAAGGCAGAAATTGACCATTTCAACATCCTAACAACTAGTTTTGGGACATTACCTATATTTTATTATGCTTTCCTTTTCTATGATTCTATTTTCTCAGTTGACCGCTTGGCATGATGGAGCCTTTGCTTGCTCTCCAAAGAACAATGAACTTGAGGAAAATGTGGTGTCATGCCTTTTCTCAGTGAGCCTGGGCTCAAAAATGAAATGATGCTTAAGCCCAAGTGTACTTGACTGGTAGTAGTAGTGAGTGATTTAAACGAAGAAAAATTGCAAGCTGACACCCAATAAGAAATCAAGGTAACGCATTTTGCAATTATACTTGCTATTGCATTATAATTGTATGCAACGAACGTTCTATTAAGTAAAGATGTCAAATGAAGATTTTACCCTTTGCTTTAAAACAGTTCCTTAATCCAAACTTTCTCTTTCAAAGCCATCATCGCTTTCCATTTCCCATCAACGGTTCGATCAGATTCCTCACCCAGACTTCGTTTCTTATTACACTCTCATTTCTTCTTATGCAGATTGTGGTCGGACTGAACCTGCAGTGGGGTTGCTTAAAAAAATGAGAGTTGGACTTTGAAGTGGATGCCTTTACTTTAATCTGGGGTGATCACGGCTTGTTTAAATGATGTGTTTTTGATTAGGAAGTTGCATTGCGTTTGTGGTTCCGGGTGGGTTTGATTCATATACTTCGGTTAGTAATGTGTTCGTGTTAGAGAAAAGAAGGTTTATTAGAGGAGGCGAAGCGGGGGTTACATGAGAGGGGAGAGGGTAAAGATGAAGTGTCCCGGAATTCGATGAACGTGGCGTATGGGCAGGCATTAAAGGGGTGCGAAAGCATTAGCTTTGTTCCAGGAAATGGTTAGGAGAGGATTGGATGTTTGAAGAGCTAGACTACTGGACAGGTCGGGAACTAAAATAGAAAATGAAGACAAATAGAAATAGTGGTAAAAAGAGCTGCATTCCCTAACGCAAAGCTGGACGACTTCCACAGGTACAAATTAAAATAAGATAGAAATGCATGTATGAAAAACAAATAACCGTAAATTTCCCATCAATTAAATTAATAAATATCAAGTTTGTAATGTTAAGGGCACAAAACTAGTGATACCAACATCTCTTTTACCAAAATTAGTTACCTGACAGGCTAGATTTCATATGAGAGCTGAAGATATTTTTTACTTCACCTTTAATGCATGACAACCGGAATAAATGAAATTTGATCCTAATGAATTCCTCTTATATCAGTGGTATGGATTAAGGTGGAACACTTGACAAGCTGGCTGGTATGACCTCTTTGATGCAGCCTGCTCAAACTTCTTAATGGCAGCTTCATTTTCTTCTAAACTGGTCTGGACAAAAAAGCGAATCCACCAAGATGAACTCCGCATTTTAGCCTTCAAGAATTAAACAGATACGTCAATGATAAGGCCAACTTGGGACATCAGTGTTAGTGCTAAGTGATAATTCAGAAACAGAGATCACAACCGAATAGGTAGAACAAGTATATGAACTCCACCCAGCCATTTTGGTGATAATGCATGTGCATATCCGTTTATAATTGATGTATTCTTTGCTCCCACTAGACTATCTCGAAACTTCAAATTTATCACCAGTCCCTAACTTAAAGGATATATGCAAGCAAAGTCCAAAGTTTTGGACCTCTTTCTTGCTGAACATTTTAGACTACTTAGAGTTCCAACTAATCACAATAAAATGTTGTCAATACTTTGGTCAGAACAACTATTTATTCTGTAACTGAAAGTCTGTCTGAATAACCAACAGGATATGATAATATCAATATCCCAAAACCAGATTCACTGAAACAAAAAAGGCTGTGTAACAATTTTGATCAAATGGAAGTTAAAAGATATACTATAGCCTATTTCAATTCGAAACCCTATTGTTATAAGGAGTAGATAGAGACTGACCGGCCGCCCAAATTTGGCTAATTCTGCCACTTTAGCCCGCTGATGACCAGGGTAACCTGAACAACAAAACTGAAACAGTTAACATTCAAATCAAACAAAAGGACCAAATCTGTTGAGGGGAGAAATTTAGTGATAAATCTCTCAGCTTGCCAAAGAAAATCAAGAGACTATGTACTACATCCATCAAAAAATCACCCATGGCTGCACCTATAGCCTTTAGGGAAGTCTTCTAAATGGTAATACTGCTCCAGATTGGTAATTAAATGCTAGTATAGGGAAGAATTGTCTAGCATCTAGCTTATTATAGTAATTCATATACATTTGGGCTAGCATGTGTGAGGCATGTGACTGGTCTGCCACAGGCATGGCATGAAAAGGAATCAAAGAATGAATAAAAATCTTATCATATCAACTTTCTTTGCAAAGCCATGTAGGTTGCTGATGCATGTTAGACAGAGACAGAGATGACATTTTTGTGTAGTTACAACCAGAAACAACTCTTTATCTATGAAGCAATTATCTTCATAAGCAAAGATATCTGTATAAAAGCACTTTCTCTGCCAGAGTAACTCTAATTTTATAATTTATATGCAACTTAAAAGAGTAAGGAATAACCTGTGAAAACAACTAGACCATCAGAGGCCACCCTTGCCAACTCAGGAAGAGTCTTGTTCAGGTATTTTGGAGACAAATAATCAAGGGCATCTGACACAATAACAAGAGAAAATGACTTTGGCCTATAGGGAAGAGGGAACTTGATATCTGCCACACGGACAATGCCTTTGCGCACAAGACTCTTGCAATTTGCTTCAGCATCCTCTATGTCATACGGTTCCACGCCCCAGACCTCAGTTTCCTCTTCTTTCAAAAGTTTAGAGACCACTGAACAGGTATCAGGGCCTATGTGCAAAACCTTGTGCATGCTGTCACCATAGGCCTTCTTTAAAAAAGGTATTGCCCTCTGAACTTCTAGTGTGCATGAATAGTCACCTATAAAAAAAAAAAAAAAACAGAAACTAATTGATTTTTGGAAGGTCACACTGAATGAAAATATACCCGTTGCAAAGCATTGCAATTCCATTATAACCACACACTTTGAATCTTCCACTTGACACAGGGCAATTAAACCATAGTTACCTAATATAACCACCAGTAATGTACATTTTTATTCCTCTGGCCGCAATAAAATGAAATGATGGGGAATGAAGATTTTTGGGTCCTACCTTCTCTTTCAACTTTTATTCCTCTAAGAAGCAGTTAAGGAGAAGATCATGGCGACTGGTAAGAGACTGTTCTATGGTATAAGTATCAAAGGAAAGTGAGCCTGACAACAATGAGATGTAGAAGCAAGGCTCTAAGATCAAATTTGTTTCCAAAATATTGTGATTGCCTCCATTGAATCTAAAATTTACCTTCTTTATACCCTCTCAAAGACATAGTTGTATTGAATCTTAACTATTTTTACATGATGTGTGAATTCATCCTCACAATTTATATTAGGACAAAACAAATCCAAATCCACTCACCCAAACATAGCATTAGCAAATCCGCTAAGTATTTATGTAGTTCTAATGGGACATCACAACAACATACTAATAAGAATTAAATACAAAACAGTAACTTCACAAGTTAATTTAATCGTAAACATCAAATCCAATAATCAGGAACAAAGTAAAAAAGAATTTACCTTCGATCCGGCTGACTGCTTCACCTCGGAATTTACCTGTATTCCCCCAAAAGGAACAGTATTTCCAATTAATTGAACTAATAAGATTAGCATATCGAACAACAAAGCAAGAAAAACCAAATAACAAAATCCCAAAAACATGAAGAATACCTGAGCCACTATAGGCATAGCCAATAAGAAGGATAGCTCCCTGAAAGTTATTTAAATATATATATATATATATATATATATATATATATTACCTTAGTTAATTTCGCCAAAAAAAAAAGGAAAAGAAGTACAAAAAAAAAGATAGATAGATATACCACAACGACAAGACCGATGGACAAAATAGGAGAAGATCGGGATTTGGAATGTAAGGCACCAGCGAAGGGAAAGTTTCCGGTGTCGACAAAGCGTCGCGTGGAAGTTACTTGCCTCCTTGACATGGTTGGTTGATACTCTCTTCTAAAACTTTATTGTTATTATTCACACACTGTACCAAACAAACAAGCAACAGATTTACACAAAATTTTAGCTTCTTCATGGAAAGAACAGACATTGAAATTCATTGCCAAACAGTGAAAATGAGAAATGAAAAGCAGACCCAAAGCATGAGAAAGCTTTGAATATAAGATAAAATGAAGGAAATGATGAGAGACAGTGGAAAGTTCACCTTAGATGAAGAAACGGAAATTGGGCATTCGGATTTTGGATCTTAGATCTGTGAATGTTTTGTGTATGTGTGTTTTGGCCTTTTGTTTTCGCTTTGTTCTTTTGGGATTTAAAACCATTTTGCTAAAATCCGGGTCTGAGAAAATTTTATCGCCATTATACGGCGCGCTTTTGTCATACAGTTATCAGCGCGTCGGTGACGCATACGACGTCGTTCGGTGCTCGAGTCGCGCTGGACTATGATTATCATTTTCTTAAAATTAGGTGAATAAAATGTCTTTATTTTTCTTGTAAAATTAAATAAAACAAAAAAAACTTAAATTTTAATCCTCTATGTAGTAACAATTTCCAAGTTAATCCTAAGATGATTGGACACTTATAAATTCTATTATTTTTTACTTTTTATTTTTTCTTTCATTTTTATTTAAAAAACTCAAACACTTACCAAACAAAACCAGTAATTACGTTTTTTTTTTAAACAAACAAAAAAAAACATTTATCAAACAAAACCTGTACATTTAAAACACACCTCCAAAAAAAAATGTAAAAACACTCAGTAATGCACAATTTCTGTGAAAATAACAGTACAAGACATTATAAATAAGGTCTTTGAAATTATGTGAGTAATTAGCTACAGTCATTGCATGTTGTGGCAAGTTGATGGAAGCTACTGAGGGTTGGTGGGAGTGCTGCTAGCTGGATTTTGTAGTGGCAGGCTGGGGAGCTTTTTCTGGCAAAAGGTTTGCCTTTATATCATTTTCATTGACTGTCAGACAGCCAACCATGTCGCAATTAATGTTATTCTTCAAATGCCCTACAGTTTAATAGCATCGCCAAAGAAGCATAACTCAATTCTATCTCAGAAAAGTCAACAAAATTTTGCTTTCTGCACATGCTAAGATTTGGGATTCACATCTTTGATAGGTACAAAATTGCAAGCAAGGAACTGCATCAAAAAACCTTACGGACAAACGTGAAAGTTTGAGCCCTCACGCCAAATAAAATTTATGACTGAGTATAGATATGTCCTAGGCAGCCCGAAACTCCTGGATAGAAAATTCCACATACGTCATGGAGCATGCTCTTCTGCTATACTCGAGCAAGGGAAAAGAATAATCTGGAGTTTCTCTGGCTTATTCGCAATCCATGCCATCGGAGCTTTCAACTGTTTTTTGATAGAATGATATTGCTGATACTTACCAGAGTGAAGGAAATGAATTGCCTGCTGTTATCATTGTTCAACTGCTACCTCTTCATCCTCTTTTCGAAGGGGCCTCCATTTTCGATCAAAGAAACTGCTTTCCACTACTTCTTGAGACTTCAGCTTGTCATCTTGCACCTTAAGCCTTTCATCAATAATTTCCAACAGTTCTTGCAAGCCCACCCCAGTTAGGGCAGATACTTTGACGTGTGGGACATGCTGAGGTTGAGATTGAGAATCTTGTTCCACCTTTAAGTGATTAGAGGTCTCAGTTTGCTGGTCACTCAGGTTATTCCAGTAGTTATCTGCAGAGTCATCTCCTGACAACAACCAGCCATCAGAGTAATCACCTTGCTTGTCATCCATAGTCTCTTCAACGTCTCTAGGCGAAGGCTTAAATACATCGCTACCATCAGCATCAGCAATATCATCAAGATTATTATCAACTGACTTCCCATCTAATAGCTCATATGCCACATTACAATCTTCTTCTTCAGAATTGTTAGTCTCAACATCTTCTGCTCCTGAGATATTGCTGATCTCAACATCTTCAACATCTTCAACATCATCCGTATATTCATTAGCACCCATTTCTTCTTCATAATCAATCTGAGCAGATTGCAAAGTTAGAAGATATCTTCTTGATTTTTTTTTTCTTTTAAATCTATGAAGGGAGGAGAGCTAAAGAATGTGTTAAAGACTTAAAGTACCTTGTTCCAGACTTCAATCATGTTCTGAAGCTTCTCCTCTGACACTCCAATTTGCTGAAGAACATGCAACACTGTGGATCGATGCTCATCAAGATTAGGTGCAGTGCAGTCTATTACATGCTGCAGAAACATTTGCAAAATCCATCAGCAGTCTGAGATACAGCAATCTCGATTTTCTCTGATTCAAGGGATGATATTTCATATAAAATTATGTACCCAAAGAAAAGATAATTGAATTCTGATGCACATAAGTCTACATTAATCATTTTCAAGTATTACTCATCAGAGCTTGCTGATTGTATTTATGATTTACTATGGCAACTTGATCATATAAAGAAAAATTCATTTAGAAAGAGACCGCTTAAAAGAACAGCCACAATAATTTTTAGTAATAGCAAAGCCTTGATTGCATGATAAATCAATCTCTTAGAGAGGATATATCAGAGTTGTAGAAGCCTTGGCAACTGCAAGTCTGCAACTACTACTTGAGAGGGTAAACAAGCCACTAGGCCAAAGCCAGTATAAAGAGGAAAAGACTGAGAGGCAGATATCAATATTCTTTAAGCAAGATTACTGCCTTTTCAACTCTTTCATAAAATCTATTTGAAACTCATTTCCCAAGGTTCCTTGCTTCAGCAGCATAAGAATATCTAAGTTTAGGAAATTTTAAGGAGAAAGATGTAATTTCGTTAATAAATAATATTTGTCTTTTTTTTTTCCTTTTAATTTATCTGCATTTTAGAACTAAGCTCCTTTTAAACAAAGGGGGAGAGAGAAACTCTATAACCAAAGTATTGCTCACAGGTGCTAATCAGCTTTAATTGATAAAAGATGATGATAAGGTCAGGAAATTTAAAAGAATCTGCTTTTATATATGCACAAGAAGAAAAAACTCTGAACTACAGCTTACCAATAAATAATTAAAAAAAAAAGAAAAGAGAGGAGAGGTTATCCATTCATACCACTAGGAGGTCAGCCTCCACTACCTCTTCCAAGGTTGAATGAAACGCTTCCACCAACTATAATGGGAAAATTCCATCAGTGAAAAAGACAAATGACAACCAAAAATAGCAAAAAAAGAAAAAAGAAAAAAGGGACTAGTGACACATATACTCATGCTTATCAGTTACCTGCACCGGCAATTCTGATATAAATCCCACAGTATCACTAAAAAGCACTTTCCTCCTGAATTATTATGTGTATAATTAGATCAATCACATAAGACTGTATTCTCATCAATAGTTAAAAAGAAATGTCCATCTTTGTGTGTCAGAATTTGAAAGAAAGATAATTAGATTTGATGTGGACCATCTTACCCTGAAGGCAAAACAACACTTTTTAATCTTGCGTCCAATGTTGCAAATAATCTGCACAAAATCAAGGCCTCCAATTAGGCAAAACATCACCCTTTTACTTATATCAAGGAATTTAACTTCAATGAAAAAAATGTTTTTAAGGATAAATATACCTCACATCACTATACAGATCACTATCTGAGAGTGCACTAACCAATGTAGATTTCCCCTGTTAATCGAGAAAAGGAGGGAAAAAGTTGAGCAAGAGAAAAGGGAAGAAAAGAAAAACATAAAACACATCTAACTTGTTTGTATGGTAGCAACAAAGTGCAGATTTGATCAGATTTTGGCCACCTACAGCATTTGTGTATCCTACAACTGCAACAGTAGCTAAACCTTGGCCATCAAATCCAACTTGTCTTTTACGAGCTGCACGTTGCACAGCTCGAGTACGGCGAACCTCTTCAATCTGGGATAACAAATGACTCCGGCGTTCCAATATTCTGAGAATAAGTTCCAGTCAGTGAACATATAAACACACACAAAGTTAATAAGTATTTTGATGACAGAGCACTATAACAGGTATCTAGTATTTATTTTCATATATAAAAAGCAACATACAGAGATTGAAAACAGGCAAGCCACATCCAAAGAATCAGATCCAAATTTGGGGTGAGAGGCAAAGGGATGAATAAAACATACATTATTATGGATGGCTAGAGACCTCTAATAAAAGAATAAGCATTTCATAGTTACCACCATCTTAGAAAGAAAGGAATATAATCAACAAGGCAATGCTAAAGCAGCCTATCCTAAGCTCCCATTAACTGAAGTATGTGAAGCACAGACATTCTTGAATTACAATATTCAGCTATGAAGGAGGAAAGGGTAGAGTCAAAATAATAATAGAACAAATAGTGCTCATCAAGAACAACCTCAAGTATGTATACAAAAGCTACATGGTATGCAACTCATCAAACATTCATATTTGTATAAGTATCAGAGACAGCTTCATAAAATATTTGTTTTACACAAGATGGTAACAAGAAATCTGTAAGAATTAGTATGAAGAGCAAACCTTCGGCGCTGAAGCTGCAGTTCAGTTTCTCCAGCACCACTTATGAAACCTCGACCCCCACTTCCTCTCCTGCAACCAATAACTATGCATAATCAAAACCATTCAAAGAATTGATAATTATTTATGGCAAGCATTTATGAGCATGACAGATGAATATATTGAGGGAAGAGCAGGAGAGAATCACAGAGAGAGAGAAAGAGAGAAAATAATGGTCCAAATCATCATGGATTTCACTCGAGTATATACCATACATACAAATGTTCACAAGCTTTATAATCTAGTCCTATTCTGTTCTATAAGAAATTCAGGCCGCACCCTCGTGCACTAACAACTTCAGCTTCTCCACTAACTCCAAAAGTATTGCGTCCATCAAGTCCACGTACACGGACAAGCCTACTCTTCTTGTACATAAGAGCTGCTAATTCAGCCTGCAAAATATCAAGTGAACCCCCCCCCCCCCCCCAAAAAATAAATAAATAAATAAACAAATAAAACCAGTTATAGAGAAAACAAACGGTGAAATTCAAAATGTAATGTCATGCCAAGTAAAGCCAAGAATTGTACCTGTAGCTTTGCTTCCTTTGTATGCGCATGAGCATTGAATATTTCTATTATAAGGCCCACACGATCTAAAACAGGTTTGCCCAAAATTCGCTGTCATTGAAAATAGCAAGTAAGATATTAGTAAAACACATGGAAGTACAGCTTCAGTTTCCCTTGCCAACAAAAAGACAGAGAGAAATTTGGCAGCCACAGCTTGCCTCCAAATTACGTTGCTGTACTCCAGACAGGACGGTATTGACAAAAACTGCATCAACTTCACCCTGTTAAAATCATGTAATGGATAAGAATTCCACAGTTACAAGAAAACCATAAGCTCACGACGAAGAACATAAGAAGAAAGATAAGATTATCAGAAGCCCCTTGCCTTGGACTCCAGAGCATTCAAATGGTATCTGATGTTTTCTACCGTTCCAGGTCCAAAATACGTGTCTAGAAATAAAACAAACCAGAATTCAAAGACCAAAAATTAATAATAATAAAACAGTGTCTAAAAACATGATTAAACACCCCAAAAAATAATAATAACTAAATGTAACCTAAGTGAAAGTGAGTCAAAAAGGAAATAAACCATGAGATTTTACATACCAGCGCGGATTTTGGAAGATTTAAGAGAAGGGTTTTGGACAACAACATGAGCAGGCAACTCCTTATCGAAGAAATCAGAATCAAAGTAGCCATCGCGCTGCTCCTCAAGCGAATTAGCTAGACAAAGAGCCTCGTTGAGCTTGGCCTGCAAGAAAGTAGCGGGACGGAGACGAGGCTGAACGACGAAGAGGCGAGGCGGGTCACTTGGGTCCCTGTTGAAAAGTGAAACGGCGGCGTTTTGACTGTCTTCAGTGCCTTTGTTTTGTTGCTTTGAAGTTGAGTATGGTGAAGAGAGAATGGAAAACAGAGAAGAAGAAAGAGAAGGTTTGTGGGAGAGGGACTGGGAGCGGGACCTGAGACAGGTTCGTGACAAAGAGAGGACTCTTAACATTTCTCTGAAAAATGTTTGCAAATTCTACGAGTTTTTCAAGTGTCTACTGAATTTTGAGCGTGAAGTTGGAGGAATGTTCCTTTTCTTTTGGGTGATCAAAACGACGGAGAAGACGGTCGGGTTTTAGCTTTTCAGGGATAAACGTGGGTGGCCCATATCCAAGCGAAGCCCCATTGGGTTTTAGGGGCGTCATTGAACTTTTAAGGCCCAAAAAGTTGCTTATAGACCCTTGTTTTTCAAGAGGTGTAGCCCCATTTATACTTTAAAGCCCATTAGTACTCATTGGCTCGTAGATAATAGGGAGACAATGAGTTGAATCTAGGGTTGGCATCGGGTCGGGTTCGGGGCGGTTTTTGCTCGCCCCGAACCCGATCCTACCCGAAAATTTTTTTGTTTTTTCATACCCGAACCCGACCCGATACTATATAAACAGTATCCGACCCGATTCGACCCGAAATTAATAAAATATTATTTTTAAATATAAATATTTAAAAATATCATTATATAAAATATATATATATATAATTAAAAAATTAATTAAAAAATTATTTTTATATATCGGGTCGGTAGGGTCGGTTTGCCTAAAACCCGACCCGACCAACCCCGACTTTGTCTTCATGCTACCCGACCCGACCCCGACCCGACCCTCGATCAGTGTAGTTTTCGCACGACCCGACTCCGATCTTTTAATATTTATATTTAAATTTAATTTGATTTGATATTAATATATCTTTTTTATATTCGATATGACTCAATCCATTTATTCATAAATTTAAATCGATCCGACCTAAAAATAATTTAATAATTTTAATTTAGTATAATATTTTTAAAATATTATTTTTAGTATAAATTATATTTTAATTATACATAACAAATAATTACACATTAAATTTTATATCTCATATTCTAAGGTTGACATCTTAATTTATACAAATATAATATTTTTGTTAAGTTAATATCTTAATTAAAGTATTAAATAATATAATATATAAATTAAATTTAAAAAATAATAAAATATATATTTTATATATATCCGAGTTGAGTTCAGATAATACCACTTAAAACCCAACCCAACTCGACCTCTAATTTAAAAAAAAAAAATTCAACTCTATTGAATCAGATCGAATCAAAAATCATTAAATATGAATTATTTTATTATTTTTAATTATGATTTTTTATTAATAAAAAAATAATATTCTTATTTTAGTATGAAAAAGGCTAAAGTTTACTTGTCATTAGAAAAAAATTTTTACAGACATTAAAAATTGAATCTCAATTTTATTAAAATTAAATTATTAAAAAAATTGGGCGAATGATTTGGTAGATTTAAAAACCATTTTCCTTGGTCTTTAAAGAAAAAGTACTATTGTAACTAAAAAATAGGAAAAAAAAAAAAAGTCAACCATATAAACAAAACAAATGATTGATAAAACAAAAAGAGATGACCATGGAATTCCAAAGTTTTGTTTGCTACATAATGTGGGAACCACAATGTTGTGTTTCAATAGGAGTTTAATAAAGAAAATTAATTTAATTAATTGATATATAATTGAGTAATCCAATAATAAAAATAAAACTAAATGATAAATTTTAATTAAAAATATTTTGATTAATCACTTTTGTATTTTAGAGTTCACATTATATATAAAAGATGATAGATTAACTTACACAGTATAATTATTTTTTTAATTTACAAATTTTCAATTATTAATTTCAATAAATTTAATCCTTTAAATTTAGTGGAATCAATAATTAAAAAATACATAAAATTAAAAAAAAAACTTATATTATGTAAATTGATCATTTTTCATGTGGGTATATATATATATATATATATATATATATATATATATAATTTAAACAACAAAGGGTATAATTGAAACTCCGAGAGCCAAGACTTGAATTTCGTAGAGAAAAAAAAATCTAAGAATTAGTTTTAGGGAATAGATACCTCAAAAGATAGCAAATTCCATGAAATAATATGTAATGTCATTTGCATAAAATTCACCCCAACAAGTTGGGAATATAACATGAGGTTTAGATTTTAATTTATATTATTCATTCACTTATTATTTTTAAGAGGTGGATTCCTATAAGGTTAAGGTTCGATCCCAACACTTGCAAATTTAACTTCCTTAATACCCCCTAGACTATAAGCTCATTTATACCAAAACAAGTTGTGACCAACCGATTCCTAGAATAATGTCATAACTCTTGGTTTTCGCTTGTGAGAATAATATTCCAGAACAAATGTTGGCCAATTTTAATCAAATTGCGGGTCATATTCCCCGCTACCTCTACCTTTTTGTTGCATATCCTAGCTGAGGCTACAATCTGAACGGGTCCTTTGATGCCTTGCTCCAGAAAAGAGCTTATAATTTAAGCAAGACAAGATATATGAATCTAGAAAAAAAACAAAAAAAAAAAAAGTAACCTTCGTCTCCATGTAACAAAGTCAAAATCCAGCATCAAATCTTAGTGGTATCAACACTCCGCCATTGAAACTAAGCAAGCTCCTAAAGGTTTTAAATTATTTTTCTTTTCCTTTTTATTGGATAACAAACAAATTCTAAGATGACAAAGATTTTCTAG